TCATTTCAACAAACTTTGACCGTCGACACAAAAACCAAATCCACAGAGTCACCATATTTAGCATGTATTAAAGGATTCTGCTGCGAGAGAAGAGTCCTCACCACAGAGACCGGTTTCTCTTCTCAAGTCAACATAACTATAACACAATAGATCTTTTTGTTGTGTCCGTTTCCACACTCCTGTTTCTCCGCACCCCGCTCTCTCTTCGCCCCGACATTCTCACTTCTTTTGTTTCGTGGAACAAAGCAGACGAGCCCAGATGGCACTTTACACATCACTAATTGAAACACAAGCGCGTACACGGACTCCCCTATTACCCAGTGTCAGATACGTATAAACAACCATTTTTCAGTCAGAGACGGGTGTTTTGATCCCTCCGCGGAATCATAATGTCGTACGGCTAACGGCTTTTGACAGAATGAGGTTTCACTCACGTTGGGATCGACTGTGACAAGCCAAAGAGAGTGGGAGAAGGAGGTGGCGGAGCATTGAGCTAGCTGAAGCACGCGTGTCTTTCTGTGGTAATTTATGGTGACAGTTCATGCTAACAAGGTGCGTGCACGGCCCGGTTCTTTACCTAAACACTGACAGGAGTTTGTTTTTTGTTTTGTGTTTTAGTGTGCGGAGGCGAGTGAGAAGACAACAGACAACGGTAAAAAAGCAAGAGAGAAGTGAGTGTTACTGGATAAATATAGGGATCAAAAGGCAACACACGCAGAGGAGCTGGAGACGTTTTGTATGATTTTTACTCAAAGATAATACATGAGAAGTTCAAAGGGTTTTAGTTTAGTAAGTTAGATAAACATCTGCTTACTAAACTAAAAGCAGATGTTTATCTTGACATTAGTAAGAAATTTACTAATGTCAGCTCAGCATTGGCATTTCATATTTTTGTATTTTGAATAATGTTTTTAATGGTAAAGACTTCCACCTTTCAGTGACTTTTTTATATAGCAATCACACAAACAAGTTCAAGAAATATATCTATGTAAAATATACTGCTAGACTACAACTACTGCTACACTACTACTATTACTACTACCACTACTGCTACTATTGCTACTGCTACTACTACTACTACTATTACTACTATATATATATATATATATATATTTTAATTCTAACTTAAAATGGATTTAATGAGCACAATAATTTAGATTGATGAAAAACATTTTCTTTTGTAAATGGAGTTTTGTTGCTAGGTTAAAAAACACAGAAAAAACTATTTGTTAAGCTTCCAAAACAGGAACCGGGGACGATAGTAGATGCATTTAAAGCTGGGGTACCTAACTTTAAAGGTTTCAAATAAGGCCGCATATCTGAGTAGCCTGAGCTAGCGTTCTAGATTCAAAAAAGGTTAACAGAATCAAAATCATTTTGATTGCCACGCAAGTAACAGGAAGTCACAGACTTGGAAATCAAAAATTTATATAATTAAAAAAATTTAAGTAAAATCTGCTCAACTGGTTGGCCTTGATAGCCATCAGACAACCTAACTTTAAAACCACAAAAATAGAACAACATAGATAAAAACAATTGATCAAACTAGGTCCTTTCTCTCTGAACAGTTTGGTTCCGTCGTCCGTATTTTTCTCATGCATGTTTTTGAAGGCTGATTATCCACTGATGCGGTTCTGATAAGGAGGAGGAGGGTTGCTGCACGAACGGCTGCTTGAGGCTCTGTTTAAATGCAGCCCTGAAGCGATGCTGATGAGCGCAGGTGTGTGGCTGTGTACTATATGTGTACCAGGTGTGTGGCTGTGTACCAGGTGTGTACCAGGTGTGTGGCTGTGTACCAAGTGTGTACCAGGTGGGAGTGAGTGAACCCTGAGAACCAGTCTGTATTTCCATTACTATGACTTTCTTTTGAATCCTGAGCAATGTTAATAATAATGCGTTTTAGTCAATTTAATGCAAAATGGTCCTTCCCAGTATTTATCTTATTTATATGTTAATGTCGGAGGTATATTCTGGAGTAATTGAGTGAGGATTGGAGATTTGTCCTTGGGCTATAATCTGCAGAAAGTATAATTAGTGTCCAAACTGTGATGAGGTTATGGACACAACCGGAATGTATGAATGTACTTTTAACTGAGCGTTGTCTCAGGAAATGTGTTTTTACGACGTATCTTTAAAAAACACGTTTCTATTTGCATGGAAATCACCTCATCCAATCTCCGAGACCATTTTTTATGACAACACATCGCCGAGGTGTGAAATGTAGAATACAAAAGTAGGATTTTTTGTTCCGAGAGGAGGAGCAAAGGTCAAAATTGTGAAAAAAATCAGACGAAAACTTGCAAAAATCACCTTATTAACAAAACGTGCTTCATTTTACAGACTTGTTAGACCCCTGGGAGTCGCTTTTTGACTCCTTTGGCTGATGTTGATTCAAAGATGGGAAAAAGGCTAAATGTGATGCATATGTAGACATTAATATTAGTGTTTAGTGGTTTTAAAGTTAGGTACCCTAGCTTTATTATCTATCCAAACTATAAGAATGACCACAGTGTAATCTTGAGGATCGCCAAAGGACCAGATAAAACCATGATGGAAAAGAATCTGCACTCCTCAGGGTTTTGTGAAAGTGGATCTAATGATGGATTATTCAGATTTGTCTCATTCAATCGTTTCCAATTTAATTATCTCTGAAAAGATCAAAGCGACTCATGATTTATGTTTTAGATTTGTAGATAACTTGACCACAGAACTGGAGTTGAATAAATAATGATAACATATGGTCCTTAAATATATATGAATGTATATTTATGTGTATTTTTACATTATGTCGCAGTTTTGACCAAATTACTGCAAGAGTTTTAGATTCTTCTGTAAGAAATGAGTTTATGCTTGGAGTGAACAATAGAAACTATATTCAATGTTCTATATTAACAAATTACTGAATCCAAACGTTTAAGCAAAAAAATATATGTTTTTGTTCCGACCAAATCCAAAAGACCAGATCAACTGTTGCCTTTTAGTGAAGCAAAAGCATAATTAGAAATATAATACATTTTAAAGTCGAAACAAGTTAAAAACAATAATAGTAATAATTATAGATTTACTTTTGAATGCACTGGAAACAGCAGTATGGATTCATGGTTTTACACTGGTCCAGACCAGAGCAGAGAGGATTCATGGTCTGAACCAAGTGGATCAGGTAAAAATCCACTGGAGGAATGCTAACTTTGTATAAAATGCGAATGAAGCATTTAGCATTTTACTTTGGACCAGAGCAGAGAAAATGGTTCGAACCAAGATCCACCTCTGCTGCTGTGACCTGAAGGATTGTTGGATTGTATTATTATTCTTATTTTTAGAATCTGTTTATTTGCTTTGTTTGTTTATTTGCATGTGTTTCTGCTGCTACTGGAAACCTGCATGTCCTACTGGGATCAATAAAGTATCTATCTATCTATCCATCCTCCATCTACTATCTCCCGGGGGTCCGCAGGCTCCTGGTCTCCTGGCCATCAAACAGAGCAGACAGAGGCACTCGCTCTGCTCTTTAACAAATCCATGTGTGGTCACTGCTGCAGACGATCGGTAGAGAAGGTCTCAGCCTTTTGAAAATAATCCATGAATGAAGCAGAAGTCCGGGTTTGGATCCAGCAAAGGCCGGTGGAAGTCTTTAAGTGGTGTCAAGATGTGGCTCTCCTGAGGCGCTGCTGCTAATGACTCTGTTAGAATCCAGATCGCAGCTAAACGCTAAACACAGGATTTTACTGTTGGTCTGCGGCTAAGATGGAGAGCGCATGACATAGAGGGAAATTTAAAGCAGACGTTTAAATGCATTAAAGAAGCCATTCAAAACTTTTCTCAGTGCATTTAGTCTTCGAACTAGAGACATTTCATGTATCTTTTAGAAGAAGAAGAAGGTCCTTTCTTCGTCCCACAATGGGGAAATTTCAGTTTGATGCATACACATATAGTACATACATATACATATACACATACACATCAAGGCATGCAGCGAACATCATATCCGCGCTCCTTATAGGCTAAGTGGGTTAAGTGTCTTGCCCAAGGACACAACAACAGCAGGCATCAGTGGGAGTCGGTGGAGAAGGTCCCGTGGTGGGCTCGAACCCACGACGGTGGGTTCGATCATTTTATATCAAGATCATTTTGCTCAGTCCCATTGCCCTATTGTTTTAAATTGGTCAAATTAAGACACATTTTGCAAATTCTGCGCATTTTCCCACTTCTTTTTCACCTCTTTCAGCAGAGTTTTGTCAACTCTAGGATTTAAGAAACCAGTGTCAGGGGTAGATGAAGCAGCGGACTCTGTGATGCTAGCAGACTCTGTGGTGCTAGCGGACTCTGTGATGCTAGCAGACTCTGTGGTGCTAGTGTACTCTGTGATGCTAGCAGACTCTGTGGTGCTAGCGGACTCTGTGATGCTTGCGGACTCTGTGGTGCTAGCGGACTCTGTGATGCTAGCGGACTCTGATGCTAGCAGAGGTGAGCAGGCGTGAGGGGAGAGAGCGAAACCCAAAGTGCTGCTCGTCTGAAAAGAGCAATTTCACGAGGACGGAAACCAACGAGTGAGACAAATGGTTTTGTTTGCTCGACCTCTTCAGAGTGGAATTGCAGGACCACGAGAGTCCGTGATAGTGTCGGGAAGAGGAGACAGTGGTTCTTGGATGGTTTACGAGTGAGGAAAAGGCGGAGAAACTTAAAGAGTGGTTTAAGAGGTCGACAAAGAAGACGATGGGTTTGATTCCACCTCCAGACAGAAGTTTGTTTGTTTGTGTTTGCTTAGATTTTAGAGATGGACTGAAATATACAGTAACTATTCTTCCTAAGGGTACTACTACCACTACTACAACTACTACTATTACTACCACTTCTACTACTAATACTACTATTACTACAACTACTACCAACCACTACTAGTACTACTATTACGACTACCACCAACCACTACTACTATTACTACTACTACTAGTGAAACAGGGACGAAGCAGTGAAGCAGCCAGGGACAGATGGAGACTCACTTGTGGGACTTCTTGACGTCTGTGCCTCCGGGTCCTGATCCGGGTCCTGATCCGCAGTCCTGGGCCTGGATGATGAAGGTGTATTCTTTCTGCTGCTCACAGTCCACCAGTCCCTGCGCCCTCAGCTGCCCTTCCCCCGACGTCCCATTCAACACCACTGCAGCAAACGGCGCCTCGGCTCCGTGGATGGTGAAGGCACAGATCTCCCCTGGATCGAGAGAAGAAGAAGAGAAGAAGAAGAGAAGAGGAAGAGAAGAGGAAGAAAAGATGAAGAGAAAAACCCTGTTAGAACAAGTGAGAGATATCATAACGTAATAAAAGACGGGTCATGGACTGATACTGTTTAAACACTGAGAGTCAAAGACAACTTAAAAAAATATATTATTTCAAGATATTTAACACGGTCTGAGAAAGTGAAACAGATTTAAATATTCTGAAAAGTCAAATAATCACTTATAAAAGGACTCAAACGTTCTCTCTGTGATACACTGTAATTTTAGACAAGAGACTCACTGTTGTATAGGAAATCTGTAAGTCACACGGACACACAAGGCAACACAATGCAACACAAGGCAACTCAAGGTAACACAAGGTAACACAAGGTAACACAAGGTAACACAAGGTAACACAAGGTAACACAAGGTAACACAAGGTAACACGACGCTAGCCTGACTCTGGCCAGACCATTGTAGTTCTCTGAGCTTCTCACAAGGGTCTGGGTCTGCTTCATAGTGGATGAATTTCAGAAGGCGGAGCCTTGTAAAAATCCTTGTGTGTGATTGGATAAACCACTTGCCTGTTATCTTGAATGACATGTTCCTTCAACCACTCACATTGAAGCACACGACTCCTATGGGTTGTCAAATACCGGCAAGATTTTCCAGCCTAAAACCAGCGAGAATGCCCCCCGAAAAAAACCCAGAATGATTTTTTGACTAAAAATGTAGTGTAATCAACTAGTATTTAAACAAAAGTTTACACGAACATTTGACTCTTAAAACCCACATACAGTGTATGTACATACATAAGTATCCGGCCCCCTTGAACCTTTCAACATGTTGCTACATTTCAGGCTTCAAACATAAAGATATAAAATTTTAATTTTTTGTCAAGAATCAACAACAAGTGGGACACAATCGTGAAGTGGAACGAAATTTATTGGATAATTTAAACTTTTTTAACAAATAAAAAACTGAAAAGTGGGGCGTGCAATATTATTCGGCCCCTTTACTTTTAGTGCAGCAAACTCACTCCAGAAGTTCAGTGAGGATCTTTGAATGATCCAATGTTGTCCTAAATGACTGATGATTAATAATAGAATGCACCTGTGTGTAAACAAGTCTCCGTATAAATGCACCTGCTCTTTGATAGTCTCAGGGTTCTGTTTAAAGCGCAATTATATTGAAATGGAAGGAGTATCACACCACTGCAAATCTACCAAGACCCGGCCGTCCCTCCAAACTTTCATCTCAAACAAGGAGAAGACTGATCAGAGATGCAGACAAGAGGCCCATGATCACTCTGGATGAACTGCAGATAACTACAGCTGAGGTGGGAGAGTCTGTCCATAGGACAACAATCAGTCGTGCACTGCACAAATCTGGCCTTTATGGAAGAGTGGCAAGAAGAAAGCCATTTCTCAAAGATATCCATAAAAAGTCTCGTTTAAAGTTTGCCACAATCCACCTGGGAGACACACCAAACATGTGGAAGAAGGTGCTCTGGTCAGATGAAACCAAAATCAAACTGTTTGGCCACAATGCAAAACGATATGTTTGGCGTAAAAGCAACACAGCTCATCACCCAGAACACACCATCCCCACTGTCAAACATGGTGGTGGCAGCATCATGGTTTGGGCCTGCTTTTCTTCAGCAGGGACAGGGAAGATGGCTAAAATTGATGGGAAGATGGATGGAGCCAAATACAGGACCATTCTGGAAGAAAACCTGTTGGAGTCTGCAAAAGACCTGAGACTTATCTGAGATTTATCTTCCAAAAGGACAATGATCCAAAACATAAAGCCAAATCTACAATGGAATGGTTCACAAATAGACGTATCCAGGTGATAGAATGGCCAAGTCAAAGTCCAGACCTGAATCCAATCGAGAATCTGTGGAAAGAGCTGAAGACTGCTGTTCACAAACGCTCTCCATCCAACCTCACTGAGCTCGAGCTGTTTTGCAAGGAAGAATGGGCAAGAATTCCAGTCTCTCGATGTGCAAAACTGATAGACATACCCCAAGCGACTTGCAGCTGTAATTGCAGCAAAAGGTGGCGCTACAAAGTATTAGCGCAAGGGGGCCGAATAATATTGCACGCCCCACTTTTCAGTTTTTTATTTGTTAAAAAAGTTTAAATTATCCAATAAATTTTGTTCCACTTCACGATTGTGTCCCACTTGTTGATTCTTGACAAAAAAAAAAAATATTTGTATATCTTTATGTTTGAAGCCTGAAATGTGGCAAAATGTTGAAAGGTTCAAGAGGGCCGAATACTTTCGCAAGGCACTGTATAACATGGAACCATTATGTCCGCCATCTTGGATTGCTTTCGCTGCTGCCTGAGACACGCTTGAGAAGGCGGTGCAAACCCAACGTAACACCGACAATCCTGATTGGTCAATTATTTTCTGATCTGGAGTTTGGTATGGTGTGGATCCCAGATCCTGTGTGTGAAGCGCCTCTGGTGGAGCACGGCGGAACTACAAGGGTCTGGCGAGAGTCAGGCTAACTCAATGCAACACAAGGCCGGAGAAACAATCGCTGATACAGAAAATACACTTGGGGTTATTATTTAAAGCTGGGGTACCTAACTTTCACACAAAAAACATCTTAATATCCATACAATTTTTCCACCTCTTTAGTTTCTTATTAGTATTGTTAACTTTAATATTATAATCATTCAAACTTTTATTGTACTTATTATTTATCACATTATAAATAACAAATTATCTAATTCATTATTTTTTTAGTGTTAATAGAAGTTATAAAAAAGTGTTAGCATAATAAAGAAGCAAGTATATATTTTTGTGTTGCAACTATCTGGAGATGGAAAATCAACTGCATGATTCCTTGAAAAAAGTTACAGGTTACAGTCAAAATAAAAACAAGAACAAATACATTTTAAAGCTTTTCGTTTAAAAAGTGAAATAGCACATCATCTCCTGGAGCTTCATGTAGTTTGACATCAAGTCTCCGAACATAGTTTTAAACACACAAAAGTATTCATACAGCTTAAACACTTGCACATTTTGACTCATTTATTTCCATATTTGATTCTGTTTTCACGCCATAAACTTACAATAAATGCCACAAACAGCTCGAGAAAAACATGTATAGTCCACGATCTGAACCATTTTGTTTTGGAAGAACCAAGACAGAAACTAAGGCAAAACAAAGCGGGGAGCGAGTGGATAAGCGGCTGCAGATAAGTGATGATTTAGATTTCAAAATGGGTCCTGGGAGTAAACAGTCGATACTGTCTTTATCGCGTTGGAAAGAGCAGTGTGCGAGAGAGGGGTGACATTTGCGCGGAGCATGTAGCATTGATGTTTCTGTGTTCAGACTGAAGGCACTTAGAGCCCGGGTCCAATCTCCACCGTGACAGATAATTACCACACTACATTTAAAGTAACAGAAGAATAAACTGCATTCACCGCCGCGAGGAGAAAGGGCTGAGGCTGAGGGCTGAGGAGACAGGGCTGAGGCTGAGGGCTGAGGCTAAGGGCTGAGGAGACAGGGCTGAGGCTACGGGGCTGAGGAGACAGGGCTGAGGCTAAGGGCTGAGGAGACAGGGCTGAGGCTAAGAGCTGAGGCTAGAGGGCTGAGGAGACAGGGCTAAAGCTAAGTGCTGGGGAGACAGAGCTAAGGCTGAGGGCTGAGGAGACAGGGCTGAGGAGACAGAGCTGAGGCTGAGGTCTGAGGAGATAGGGCTGAGGAGACAGGGATGAGGCTACAGGGCTGAGGAGACAGAGCTGAGGCTAAGGGCTAAGGCTAAGGGCTGAGGAGACAGAGCTGAGGCTACAGGGCTGAGGAGACAGGGCTGAGGCTATGGGACTGAGGCTACAAGACTGAGGCTAAGGGCTGAGGCTACAGGGCTGAGGAGACAGGGTTGAGGCTACATGACTGAGGCTAAGGGCTGAGGCTACAAGGCTGAGGCTACAGGGCTGAGGAGACAGGGCTGAGGCTACAGGGCTGAGGAGACAGGGATGAGGCTACAAGGCTGAGGCTACAGGGCTGAGGAGACAGGGATGAGGCTACATGACTGAGGCTAAGGGCTGAGGCTAGGGCTGAGGAGACAGAGCTGAGGAGAAAGAACTGAGGCTACAGGACTGAGGCTATGGGGCTGAGGCTAACACATGACCGAGACGTACATGTAGGAAATGATCATAGACCAGTGTTTACACATGGTAAGACCAGATAAACTATTAAAACAGTATTCTAAAGTAACGGCCCATGTGAGTGCATGTGTGTGATAGACCTGAACCCCCCAGCCCCCCGCCGTGCCCCCCCCTCGGTGCTGCCTGAACAATGGCTGCTCAGAGTTTAATGGACCTGTGCACGTTATGGGAAACACGCTGAGACAGAAACTAAAATCACCAAATTGCAGTGAGCGACGGAGTGAGACCAGAAAGGTAGAAACCATCACAACTGGAGCAAGACATAAATCCAATATGCAATTCTGCCACATCAACATTTACTGTGTGTCTCCTCCATGTGAGTGTGAGTCTGAGAGGTTCACTTGCCCCGGAATAGAGAGAGAGAGACCAGAGAGAAAGCAGAGACAGACCAGAGAGAGAGACCAGAGAGGGACCAGAGAGAGACCAGAGAGAGACCAGAGAGAGACCAGAGAGAGACCAGAGAGAGACCAGAGAGAGACCAGAGAGAGACCAGAGAGAGACCAGAGAGAGACCAGGGAGAGACCAGGGAGAGTCCAGAGAGAGACCAGAGAGAGACCAGAGAGAGACCAGAGAGAGACCAGGGAGAGTCCAGAGAGAGACCAGAGAGAGACCAGAGAGAGACCAGAGAGAGACTAGGGAGAGACCAGAGAGAGACCAGCGAGAGACCAGAGAGAGACCAGTGAGAGACCAGAGAGACCAGGGAGAGACCAGAGAGAGACCAGCGAGAGACCAGCGAGAGACCAGCGAGAGACCAGAGAGAGACCAGAGAGACTAGGGAGAGACCAGAGAGAGACCAGCGAGAGACCAGCGAGAGAGACAGAGACAGAGACCAGAGAGAGACCAGAGAGGGAGACCAGAGAGAGACCAGAGAGGGAGACCAGAGAGAGACCAGAGAGAGACCAGAGGGA